GGAGGAGCCTGCAGCGGGGACCAGCGCCAGCTCCTGTGGCCTCTTCTCTCTTTTTTTCACCACTGTCTGGTGTGAACACGAGGCTGTAACAGTAAACTTCTGGGTTCCTAGCAAGTGTGTGCTTCAGTTATTGTGTGTACACGTGTGCAGTCATCAGCAGGCAGTGCCTTGGTGGAGGATCTCGACCCCGGCTTAGGGATGGGTCCTGAGCTGATGATGACTGTCTTTCAGCCACAGATTCCCCCTGCTGCCCCCCCCCCCCACCTCTAAGTTGCAGGTTGCAGGGGAGAGGGTGAAGTATAGATACAGTGCATCTACTGACAGATTTTACTGCTAGGTGGTGTCGTTGTCTCCCCCCACCCATGGATGGGTGTGTCTGTGTCTTTGCATCAGGGTGCTTTTAAGGACAGGAAAACCTACAGTCCCTGCCCCAGCCATGACATGCTGGTGACTGAATGCAGTGAACAGACTTAAGTGGTGCTCTGGTTGTTGCATATGGTTGCATGATGTGTGTGCGCACGTGTGTATATATGCATGCACACACATGGATAGATGGATGTAACGGGGACCTAGCAGCAATTTCTGTATTTAAATACCTTATACCAGGGGTGGCCATCTTGGAGCACATGTGCCCTCAAGTGGCCCTGGCAGCCTCTGCATGTGGTACATAGCAGAAACGGGATGAGTGGCATGGTGGCAAATTGGATAGGGAGCACAGGGTACAAAAAGCAGAGCAACAGATTGAGCAGAGGAAGGGGATCTGATTAGCACGTGGAGAGAGTGTGGGGCTGATTATGACACCTGCCGAAAAGGTTGGTTCCGCACTTCTGTACCTCTTTTGTAAGTAGTTTCAACACCTGTTTTCAGCCGTCCTTTGAAATCTGGTAGTGAGATTAAGACTAGGGGATTATACAGGGTTGGAGTGTTTGTTTTATTTTGTTTGTTTTTTCCTTTCACTTTTTTTTTTTTTTAATTGCATGCCAAAAACCTTGATTTTGAAGAGTTTTGATGTGGACTTGGATACAGTATATCACAGCAACTTTCCCAAAAGAGCTTTTCTCCAAGCAGGCCCATACCCAGTTGATTATGTTGGTGACAGTGATGGGTGGGGTAGGAGAATGACAGTTTGACTAAACATGGTATTCCTCAAATCCAAGGTGAGGCTTTTTTTCTGAGTCATCTTGGATTTGGGTAAATACAGTATGTCTGTTTCTACTTATGAATTCAGTTTAGTTTCATAAACAATACTTGTGACTTTGATTGAGTCAGGCTGTCTGCTTTATTATAGGTATTTGATATGCAATGAAAACCCATGTTCTGGAAGATGTGACCAAATAATCATTGGGGCATCAATACTGAATGGGTCTCTGGAGCAGTGAAGGTTTCTTGGAGCAGCACCTTTTCCCTTGACTGGACTGTATCTTCACACAAAAAAGAAGGAAGTTGAGAGCAGATGGAGTTATTTTATCCAGGTTGTTGTAATATGAGTGCTTCTCAAAGACCAGCAAGGAGTTTTCATTACCAGAACCAGGATGGGTGAAGAAGAGAGAAGGATCTTGGTTCAAGTTCTTTCAGGGAGGCAGCATCTATTCTAAGACATTACAAAAAGGGATGAGATCATGCTTAGGGGATTGGCTCTAAAATTTGTTTTCCATAAATATGTAGGTTTTATAGTTTAAGTGTCAAGTGCATGGTAAGAAATGTCTTTGTTTTTCTTCATTTTATGATTCCTAGGGAAAATAAGGGTCCATTCAGGTAGTGGATTCTAGGAGGAACATAGAAAAGTAGTTGGTGGACCTAGACAGTGCTTTCAAGGTGTGTGTAGTCAGAGTGTGGGATCTCACAAGGATATAAAAACAAAGGGCCTGAACTGCTTGACCCAAAAGTTGGATAATGACTGATCATTGTTTCTGGTTGGGAACATGACAGCGCACAAGATTCCTGTTCCTAGATTCACTCAGTCCAGATGGTGTCTTAAGAGTGTGGGCTGTTATGGGCTTGTGAAGGAATAAGAGCTGTACGGCTGGGACATAACATACAGGTTATATCTCTTCCTTCCACCAGCTGTGCTATCCACAGATACCAGACTGCTGCTGGCAGCCACTATAGTCCGTACTCTAGCTGAAGTGGAAGAAGTCTGTTACAGTGCAGATTTTCAGGAAATAAAGCCCTGATGCTGATGTGTGCTGGTGATGTTATAGCTGTGCAGCAGAAAATACTCAAGTTGCAGATTCAAGCATTCAGAAGATAGAAAGGCCAAGGTGTGTTGCCTATGCATTCTGAATGTTGCCTTTTTGCACCTGTATTATGACAATGCTTTTAATCCCATGGAAACATCTCATGGCTGGGGGAGGGATAGTATGCCTGTCGCCGAATGCAGCATGCAGAATAAGTGATATTCTGGTCATCAGGTAAAGCTGCATACTGAATGTTGTCTGTAGGTTCCACATCTCACTTACTGTAGAAGCTGGAACATGGGCAGAGAATGAGAGGATTAGCATAAATGAGCAGTGAGTGTTGGATTCTGTTCAGGAAAACTAAATTTTTTCCCTTGCATATGCTGCACACTTTTCCCATAAGACGCTGTATAGGTAGCCACTAACTGCTTTCCTCATCCCCTGGGCAACCAGCTTCAGGTACGTGGAGCTACTGTTGTCTGGCGAAGTACTGAACACTTGCAAGTGCAATTACAGTCAGCTGAAGCTGTGGATGCTCAGCTGCTCTGATAGTTAGACAAGTTACTATCAAAAGTAAGACAACAGCTTTAAACGGGGTGCAGGCTTTTGTGGGTTGGGCACCGCTGAAGGATCATGCTCAAGAATGCCCTTTGATGTTACCCTTCAGTGTGGATCAGAGTGAAGGGGTGTGTTTTGGGGAAAGTCAGTTTGCCTTTCCTTCTCCATTTGCAAAATGGAAAAATACCAACTTAGTACTCCAGGATGTTCTGTTACTAATTTAATTCCTTTTAAAGTGTTTATATAGTATAAAAATGCCAAGTCCTCTGAAAAATTGGGCTGTAGATCTTTCTGATTATAGGCAAAATAAGGTATCCAAACTTTATGGTCCAAATATGCATAAGTTCCAGTTATAATTTTCTGTCAGATTACATCCTTAGAAACATAGAAAATAGGACTGTAATGTACCTCAAGACCTCTTCCACTCCAACCTCCAGTTTAAATAGGATCATCGCTGTCTAAACTATCCCAGCCAAGTGTTTGGCTAACCTGCACTTGAAAACTTTCAAGGATGGAGAATTTACAACATCTGTAGGTAGTCCTATTGCTAACCCACCTTCACAGGTTGGGTATTGGCAAAATTTTTCTAAATCTCCATTTTTGCAAATTTAGTCCATTACTTACTGGTCTGTCCCTATGTGGACACAGACCATTGATTGCCGTCCTCATTATAACAACTTCCAAAGGAATGCCTTTAACAACTGGATTGTAAATATTCTGTGATAGAATTCTCTCATTTTGTCCTTTTGAATGTTTCAGTTTATATAAAATGCATATACAACAGTGCAAAGACTAGAAACGGGTTTCTGTCTTTCCAGGTGAGTGCTCCAACACTTAAGCGAGAGTACCAACTCAACCTGATTTCCTTCCCCCGTGTGTCTGGACTGCAGGGCTCCTCAGGAACCGAATCTGGAGTCACAGGGGTTAACACTGCTATCACTTGCCTCCTGCCACTGAAATGTGTCCTCAGAGGGGCTCTGTACCTTGGTTTTTGGCAGTGGGTCCTGCCCTTGAATTCCCTGCCCCTCTAGAAGCCCCTAGATTAGGCTAGATCAGAGCTGGGGACCACAGGACACACGGGCAACAGGCCCAGGGGCTACATGCTGCTTTGGTGTGTCCCCCCGGCTCCTGTGCGTTATGTGGGCTGCTCAGCACCCCCTTCCTGTGCACATGGTATGGGCACCTTCATAGCCCAAGCCACCTGACTCCACCTGCATGGCTGGGAGGGAATTGGGGGGAGCTGGGCAGCCCTCACTCCACCTCATGAACAGCCTGACACCCTCTGCCAGCCATGCACACCACCAACCTGCAGTGTGGGTAGGCTCCCTTCTTTTGGCCCATGCACAGCTTGGGCAGTCTAACCCACCTGGCTGCTGTAGTAGGAAAAAATGGGGAGGGGGGAACAGCCTCTGGGGCTGCATATGGGCCCACAGGCTGCCAGTTGACCAGCCCTGAACTAAATGACACTTTTGCAGGCTGGATCCACTGCTGTGAGCTGTATGTTTGACACCATTGCTCTAAGAAAGAATTATCATTCATGATAAAATGCCATTCATGTGGCCAGGGAGTATTCAGTTATTCACTGCTTCAGCAGGGGGACTAATAAGGACAGTCTCCTGAATGAAGGGAGAGTTCAGTTCCTACCCCCTTAAGCTGAGAGAGTCCTTTAATCAGTATATCACTTCCGGGCTGAATG